TTTATGGTAAAAGTTAAGTTGTTGCTTAAACAACTGCTAAAGAACATAATTAAAAAAAAATATTTTTATTAATGATACATGTTAACAGATACGCAATTCAAGTTACATATACATATCGTCATAGAGTACGCGTTTCAAGTCATCATAATATTGATAATGAATGTGTGTATGTGTGCGTCAAAATTAATAATAATTATTATTATTCTTTATTTCAGAAATTTCTTGCCATAGTAGAGTGGGTTAGTAATTACAAAAAGTACTTATAAGTTAGAATTAGTAAATAAATAAACTTAAAAAGTAACATTAGACTTAGATTAGAATCAGGGTTTAGTGTCAGTGTTCGACGTACGTACGATGTTTGGGTCGACAGGATCGAGCGAGCGTGGGTAGACTACTTGGCCTCTGGTAATGATAAGGATATGAAAGAGAAGATGAAAGAAAGATATAGGCTGCAGAAAGTTCACACGAAAGCATTGATTGAGGAAGTGCGTGAAAGGTGTAGAATGGAAGCGGACGAAAGGTTGTCGCACAACTGTAAGGAGAACTCCAAACTCTTCTGGAAAGAGGTTCGAAGGACCCGAAGTGGTGCGACGGCCTTAAGAATGAACAAAGTGCTTTTGAGAACTAATGACGTCCTCTCAGAAAGATCAGACGTCATGCAGCGATGGAGCGAATTTTATAGAGAATTTTATAGGTATCCGGGGATGACGCCGTGACTGGTACGCCAGACCCGGATCTCGATGAACTGAAGTCATCAGTATGAAAGAGATTGAACGTGCGATTTGAAGTTTGAAATGTGGTAAGGCTGCGGGACTAGACAGAGTTACTGCTGATATGGACAAGTATGGTGGGCCTCGCGTCTGGGACAGCTTTCATCTGCTGTGCAATTTGTGCTGGCGGACGGGGGATGTCCCATATGATTGGCGATCCGCAGTCATTGTGCCTTTATATAAAGGTAAAGGTTCACATTTTGACTGCGGGTGCTATCGGGCGATCAGCTTGACCAGTTTAGCAAGTAAAGTTTACTCGAAGTTTTTGACACGTAGGATGCAAGAGAAATCGGATAGATTTTTATGGGAGGCACAATGCGGATTTAGACCTGGAAGAGGATACACGGATCAAATGTTTTCTCTCCGCATGATCACGGAAAAGCTGCTGGCTGCTAACCAGAAGATTTTCTGTGCTTTTGTGGATCATGAGAAAGCATTTGATAAGGTTGTAAGGAAGAAAATGTGGGAACTGTTGCCGGGGTATGGTGTGGATGGTCGTTTGCTAAGGGCTGTGCAGTCTCTTTACTGTGACTGTAAAGCCTGTGTGCGGGTAGGGCATGACCTGTCACCCATGTTTAGCATCCAAACGGGCGTAAAATAGGTTTGTGTCATGTCTTCCAGGCTGTTCATACTGTATCTCGACAGCTGTTTACAGAAGCTGAAAGATAGCTGTTTGGGTGTGAAATTGGGTGACATAAACGTAAATTGTCTGCTGTATGCTGATGATGCAGTGTTTATTGCACCATCAGAGGCAGAACTGTAGGCATTAGTCACGTGTATGAAAGAGGAATGTGAAATTAAAGGTTTCCGTTTGAATGCTAATAAAACTAAGGTTCTGGTATTTGAAAGGGACGAATAGAGAACGAAGTGTGAAATATGGGTAAATCAGGAATGTCTAGAACAGGTAAATGAAATCGTATACTTGGGGAGTGCTTTTAGCCGGGATGGAAGATGTGATTTAGATGTGGACAGGCGTGTCGATGCCGGGAACAAAGTCAATGGTGCCCTGACTGCGTTAGTCAAAAGGCAAGGCGTAATGAAGAGTGCACGCCTTGCAATACATAACGCAGTTTTGGTACCGACTTTGTTATATGGCAGCGAAACCTGGGTATGCCAGAAGAAGCATAAAAGCAAGTTGAATGTAGTGGAGATGCGATCTCTTCGTAAAATGTGCGGCGTTACCATGGCCGACTGAAAGCGAAACGAAGAGATTCGCAATATGGCAGGTTTGAAAGATGACCTTATCACAAAAATTGATAAGGGCGTGCTTCGGTAGTTTGGGCACGTTGAGCGAATGAGTGAAGACCGAATGGTGAAGAAAATATATAGCGCGAAAGTTAATATTAAAAGGTGTCGAGGTAGACCGAGACTAACTTTCGAAGACCATGTGAGCAAATTGCTCGAAGAGGGTAGGGTCAAGAGTACTCGGATACCTAGACGTGCATGTATGAAGAAGATAATGAATCTGAAAGAAGCGAAGGATCGTGACACTTGGCGATCTGTTCTCTTTGGCTACCCCGTCAGGGATTGTGCGTGAAGATAAGTAAGTAAGTAAGTAAGTAAGTAAAAAGTAACATATATTACTTATTCTATATACTTTATATTTACCAGAGCCGGTCTCCAGCCGATATGGATGCTGTTCCAGTGACTCAAGATAGGACAGTAATAGCGACTCCCTATCGCCGCCAGGAGGCTATTAGATCTGTTCCGGACGCGGCACCATGCGGAGGTAACCCGTTTGCGTATAATAACTGGGAAACTATCTATGCGAGCCTCTGCAAATATTGCTGAAACGCTGCAGTTCCATCAGGATTGTAAAGCCATTATTATATTGGACGCGCAGGGCTGCAAGAGTCTTCTGTGTATACTCAACCCATAGACTGCACTTGTATAAAGACTGACAAAAGGCTTTTATATTCGACCGTTACCTCTCTATGTCGGCATTATCTGACATATTTTCAGTAAACCAGTGACCCAGGTACTTAAAACTTGTCACTCTTTTCGGTGGTACGCATTCAAGAGCGACAGTGGGAAAATTATAGCTTTTATGTTTTGATATAAAAATACGATCTCACTCTTCTTAATATTATACCGTAGGCCATGAGCCGCTGCAAACTTTTCTCAGGTACTAAGTAATTTTCTTAGACCACTAATTGATTGGCTCAGCAGCACCATATCGTCGGCGTAACTTAAGTTGTTATATGGAATATTATCAATAGAGCAGCCTACTCCACTACTACCGAGTTCATCAATCAGACTGTTCACGTAGAGGTTAAAAGTGCAGGAGAAGACTTTCCGCCCTGTCTTACCGCGTACTCCAGCCTATACGCCTCAGATAAAACTCCTGCCCACCTCACCTGATTCTGTTGATTGTCGTACAATGAAACAGACCTATTAAAAAAAGATTTTTTTAAAAGGTGCTATGATTTTGTACGTGACCCGTTTATTTGTTAGTATTGTTGATCGAAGCATAGAGTGGTAGGAAATCGAGCATACGGATCACCTGATGGTATAAGATCACCGGCGCCCATAAATATCTGCAACACCAGACGAATTGCAGATCTTCCTACCTATATGTTATGCCAGTGAGTACCTCAAAGCGTCACACATTATACCACAAATTCAATATTTTTGTGTTCACTTGTCAATGTTCACTTCTAACTCAATTTATAGAAATTTATTATATAAAACTAGTGATAATCAATCAAGGGAGCTGTGATAGCTCAGGAGACATCAGCTTGCCTTAAAATTACATAGTTCGCATGCAAACTGATTTCTATACTAACCGGTCACAATTCACGTACATTGACATGATGTGTCAATCGTGAATGATCCGTTCATTTGACCTGGGTCGCTTCAAAGTATTGATGATTGCAACTATATTTTTGAACGTTTGAATGATCCATCCAAATGACCCGATTCATAAGACGACTCAATATTTGCAATATTTGAATGATCGGGTTACTAGAAATAATGAATGAGACGTGTCTATTTTTGATAACTATTTAATTAATATATAAATAACTAACTAACTTTGCCTTGCGTATGTGGACTATGAGAAAGCCTTTGATTCTGTCGAAATTTGGGCGGTGCTGCAGTCCTTTCAGCGGTGCCAAGTTGACTGTCGGTATATAGAAGTGCTAAAGTGTTTGTACAGTAGAGCTACGATGGCTATCCGAGTCAGAGTACGAGTAGGAATCAGAGTACGAAATCTATCCAACTGCAGAGAGGTGTAAGACAGGGTGACGTTATATCCCCGAAACTCTTCACCGCTGCATTGGAAGACGTTTTCAAGCTAATGGACTGGAAAGGATACGGTATTAACATCAATGGCGAGTACATCACTCACCTTCGATTTGCCGACAATATAGTCCTTATGGCAGAATCGCTGGAGGACCTAAGCACTATGCTCAATGACCTCAATAGTGTCTCCCAACGGATAGGTCTTAAGATGAACATGGACAAAACAAAAATCAAAAATGTTTAACGTCCATGTCATACCTATGCCGGTAGTTGTTGGGAGCACTAACCTCGAAGTTGTTGACGAGTATGTTTACCTGACGATAGTTGAACGTGACAATGTCAAGAAAATGTTGCTATAAACAATTGACACCATATTCACTTTTCACTGCACTTCATACTTGACGGAAACATGTAAATGTATTATTGTATAGCAGCTGTCCATGCGGACGCATCGCTCACTCAAGTAGGAGAGAGACAGATGTCGAACGCTGCCGAACGCGGAGGCCGATTGTGCCTCTTTGTCGCTCGTTCCGCGCTCTTGCTTGCACTTCAAGCCTTAGAGCGAGGTAACGCCGCATGAGTCATGTTTTTTCGTGCGTGCAGCCAGCTTCATCGAATTATAAGATGTTGTCACGTCAAAAAATTTCTTGCAATTGAAAAAGAAACGGTTTTAACAATATGGCACCGAGGTAACATTCAGCAAACGCAATGTTTACAGACTTTTAAAAACCAACTATTTGAATTTCCCGTCATAATAATAAATTACTGTTTGCATTGATACTTGATTTTTGGTTAATTTTCTCTTATATATATATATATATATATATATATATATATATATATATATATATATATATATATATATATATATATAAAGGGTTTTTCAACAAGAACATTGTTTTTCAATTGGGGCAACACCAAAAACATGACAGTTTTGACATTTAGTTTTTTGACCTATTCGTAGTAGATGCTTTGGCAATTGCTACAATGAATTCAATTTCGCTCGAAAATCGCATTAAAATAATTAAAATCCACTATGAAAATGGTGGTTCTGTTAAAGTTACGTTTCGTATAATTCGTGATATTTTCGGACAAGATAATCGTCCTTCTGAAACCGCTATTAAGAATTTGGTCGCTAAATTTGAATCGACAGGCTCGGTACAAAATGCACCAACACCAACGCGCGTTTGATCGGGTCGTTCAACCGAAAACATCGCAGCCGTAAGCCACAGTTTTGCAGAAGATCCAAATTTGTCAATTCCTCGACGTTCTCAACAATTGGGGTTATACCACCACATGGCGAATTTTGCGTAAGAATTTGGCTTTGAAGCCTTACAAGGTTCAACTGGTGCAGGAATTGAAGCTGATCGACCATTCACATCGCCGTAGATTCGCTCAATTTATTCAGGAACAGCCCGCTGGTTTTTCTAAAGAAATCATTTTTTCAGACGAAGCCCATTTTCACTTGTCAGGGTACGTCAACAAGCAAAATTGCCGCATTTGGGCTTCTGAAAATCCTAAAGCGATTATTGAGAAGCCTTTGCATGCTCATCGTGTCCCTGTATGGTGCGCTATGTGGTCTGGAGGCGTGATTGGGCCGTTTTTTTCGAAGATGAGGCTGTAAATGCGGTAACGGTCAATGGATCACGCTATCGCGAGATGTTAACATCTCAATTTTGGCCTATTATTGATGACATCGAAATTACAAACATGTGGTTTCAACAGGACGGTGCCACATGTCACACAGCCAACGAAACGATCAATTTATTGCAAACCAAATTTCCCGATCGCATAATTTCACGAAATTCAGCTGTTAAATGGCCAGCCAGATCGTGTGATTTAACACCACTGGATTATTTTTTGTGGGACTATGTTAAGGACAGAGTCTATACGGAGCCAATCGAATCGATCGCGGCCTTAAAACTCAAAATCCGTGACGTGATTAACGAAATAGACCCGCCATTTTGCCAAAAAGTGATTAAAAACTTTGATGAAAGAATCGACATCTGTCAGCGTGGTCGTGGTGGACATTTGCCAGATATCATTTTTCATTCATAATTGCCAAACTTTTCTCTTCGTAATACAATAAAAATTTGAATCATCTTCATCTAAACTATTTGTTTTATTTTGTTTTAGAAAACAAAGTTCTTGTTGAAAAACCCATTATATATAATATTTATTTCTATATATTTATAAAAATATTTTTTTTCTATAGTAGTAGTTCTTTTATATAGTTTTTTTTCTCCTTGCATGATCTCGCATGGAAACACAATGTATCTTTTTGTAGATAGTTATATCTACACCTATTATTCCATTATATTACATATACATATACAGGTACACTGATTTATTCACTGCAAATGTAACTTTGTAATCCTATATATTTGTATGGGATTACAAAGTTAATTATGCAGTTGATGTATTAAGTAAACTGGACCGAAATTGCGAAATATTTTAATTTTTCCTTAATTTATATACCAAACACTAATTGTATTCTAAATTTGAAGCTTCTATGTCTGTAAGAAGTGCTTTAGAGTTTTGATGATCGATCAGTCAGTGAGTGACAAAATTAAGAAACTTTGACTAGTTATAATTCTTAAACTACTAGTTAAAATTGAATGAAATTTGAAATATACCGTGTCTATGTAATGCCTGCTTGTTTACTGAAAATTCAGGCTTTTAATTTTATCCACAACGAAGTTATAGGGGGTCAAAAATGACCTGAAATGCTTCGAGAAAAGGATGGTACGGCCGTGCCGCTTTTGCTCGACTTGGCAGAATACAGACAACAGAAAGATCTCGTGGTTTTCCAAAAATACAGCGCCATTTTTACCACCGTAGTTACATTAGACGTAAAATAACATACCATCACCAATTCGTCCGTCAAACGTGGCAATTAAAGCAAATCCTGCCTAAAACGAGGGACCAGCAGCGTAATTTTGGAGGATGGATGAAAAAACAGAGATGCCAGAGAGTTTGTGTAATAATTACAACTATTTAGGGTTAAAAAAATAAATACGAAAATGTGCAATTAGTAAGTATAATTAGTCACAAAAAGTCCAACTGCCTTTCCATCAAGTGTAATTAGTTACAAATGGTTATAACATTTCTCGAAGAAGCTTCCGTAGAATTTTTCCACTCGGATTTTTTGGTATCTCCTTGACGAATTTTACTCCTCCACGCAAATGTTTTGGATTGGATAACTGCAATAAAAATAAGTTTATGGTGATTACTAAAACAAAACTTACAACTGATGGGGTTCAAATAATAGCGAAGTTAAAGTCTAACCAACTTCGAAGCCGTGGACACTTTGTTTAAAAGTTGAAACAAACATCGTCATGTGAAAGCGGAGTTAGGGAATTAATTGACCTATCTCATTTTATAAAAGTTAATTGTCTCCTATTTTTTTAATTCAGTTTGCATTAAAACAATACTTATGGCAAGTAATTTATGCTTTTACTACCGGGTCGACAAAACCCGTACAGTTAGAAGAACCTATAAGGACTTTTTTTTATTAGGCTCTCACAACAATGAGTACACTGTTAAATATATATGAAATGACATCATAATTATTATAGCTAAGTGTCCCATTAATTACTGGAAAACGTTACGTTGATTTAACAAAAATAAATGGGAACTATTTACTTTAATAAAATTGAAATTGAAATTAACAATGAAGAATGAGTTTTAATCGCCAGTAACTACTTTTTTGATGCCACCAATCGAGGTTGAGAATAATGTAATCCACTTTGGTATTCTTTGTACAGGATTATTTTGCGATAACCGGCCAAATTCGGAGAGAAGGTTCAAAATAAGTATTATAGGCAAATAATGAAGAAAAATTAACTAAAACAATCGCTAACATTCTGCACTTTCTATCTCTTACATTCAAAATGCGTGGTTATAATGCATAACTGATTGTCATTCATAAATATCTACCGCCCACTATTTTACTACTTATGCACACATTAGTAAGGGTCAAACGGTTTGCAAAAACATGGTAAATTGAATTGCACACAGAGGAACTGTGTACTTCTTCCTATTAAACAAGAGTTATGAAGAGATAGAGCAGTACTTTTTATAAATAACTGACTAACTAATTTAAACTATATTAGTATAATTATATTGTGCACACATTCGCTAGGGTCAATTGGTCGGCAAAATATGGTGAATCGAATCGCACACAGAGGAACGAGTGTACGCGTTGCCCATAAATCACATTCAATTAGGGATAATTTAAAATAAAATTAGAATCCTCATTTACTCTACCGTTATTGCATTTATTTTTGAGGCAATTTTCAAAAACTGCAATAATGGTATATAATTATTTATTCTTAGAAAAATAAACCTGTATAATATAAATATTACTGTTAAGAAACAATGTGGTCTTAAATTAGTTCGACCTTGGGGCGCCACAAATAATTTGTTAATAAATTATCTATCTAGTCAACACATGCAGCACGTTCTGAAAGGTCTTCAATAAGGTTGGGACAGTCTAAAAATCCAGTTACTAATTTCTTTAAAAACACCAAATCATTAATTTTTATTCTCGTTTCCGACAATAGGATATTAAAATGAGACAGTCTCTCCTCATATGACTTCAGCGTTCTTGATATATTGCAGGTAAGAGCAAAGTTCCATAGAAACATTTTCTGTACTTTTTCAATACGATCTACATATGTGTATTCTGTAACTGCGTGACACTGTAATACTCCAGGTGACTCCATATTAGTGAGATTTACATTATTATTTTTATGGTTGGTTTTTTAAAATTTCTACACTCCTCATTACAAGCCCCAGCAGTACACAATCACACCTATAGTCACCCCGGGTGTTGCTAAACAAGCAACAAAGCCGAAAGAACAGACTCGGCTCCTCGCCGTGTGGTAGCGGCGTAAATAATACCACCTCCTACATTCGCACCATGAGGCAGAATAGAAAAGAAAGGCCCCAAGTTCTCGGTGCTCTTTAATGGGGCCGAAGTGCGAAGAATCTCGAAGAGGTTCGCTACCCATCACGTTCTCTCTTCCGGAGGGGCGAAAAGTGGATTGCAGAAGACCGTCTGGCTATGCTGAATATATGTGAGAAATAAATGATAAGATGGACTAAGTATGCGATACGATGTATAATAGAGGAATATATGTGTGTTATATGTAAATGAGACGAAACGGAAGGGAAAGGATGCCACTACACGTGGCATGTATACCGCATACTGTTCTGGTGTAGACGAAACCGACCGTGCATGCTAGGAAATCGGTATCATACTTTAAGAAAGAATGGGTCACTGTGTGAGAGAGTGTGTAAGCCCGAGACTGCTATAGATACGAATGAAAGTGGGCTTAAAGAAGTTGTTTTTCTAGGGGTTTACGCCCCCGGCATAATTAAGCCCACTTATATTTGAGATCAGTTTAGGAGATGGTAAGGATGGTGCTAATGAAATGCAAGGGTAATGAAAATATCGTTATATTAGGAAACTTTAATGGAAAGGGGTGAAGAGGCTTGGTTATGAAAGGATATTGAGAACGATGGTGATAAAGGTATAAATGAGAATGATGAATGCCTCCTCACCGTATGTGTGGAAAATAATATTTTTGTGTCGAACACTTTCTTTCGTCATAAGAAGATTCACAAGGAAAGAGGTGATGATAGGAGCATGATAGATTTCATAATTGGTGGTATAGGACATCGTCTATCATTGCGTACAGCATATAAGAACAGAGAGGTTACAAGATGAAGATGTGAAAGAGAAGTTCAAATGTAGACTGGGTGAAAATATAAGTGGATTGGATTGCATAATGTCAAGAAAATTTTGGTGGATGCAGCTACCGAAGTATGTAGTATAAGTAAGAGACCGAATGAAAGGAAAAATAACACGTTATGGTGGGATGATGAGGTACGGAGAAAGTTGCAACAAATAAGAGGGCATGGCTAGATTTAATAGTAACAAAGGTTGGTAAAGCTAAAACCCTCTCAGAAATGAGGAGAACCCTGTACGAAGCAGTGGGAAGTATAATAGGCTGTAACTTAAGGCTGGTAATTCTAGTGGTATGAAAGAAAAAAGGCAGTCTTTAGACATCTAAATAAGAGATTAAAAGAAGTAATTGAAAGGAAAAAGCAAGAAAGAACGGATAAGAATGATAGAAGAATGTGGGATAACTTCCAGGTAAATACTAAAATGTTCTATAAACTCG